ATAATAATAATAATAATAATAATAATAATAATAATAATAATAATAAATAATAAACACCTCCCTCGAATAAACTCCCCCTCAGAAACCTCTCTCAACTATAAAAGCCCCTGCGCCGTTTAATACGGTAGCTCGCTTTGACTAGGAATGCTTTGTAGGCCTAAAGCGTTTGTGGGGCTTAATGCTTGCTTTCATTTAGCAGGTCGGCTGCTTGTAATCAGTGTGGTCGAATCTTTACAGTAGGTTGTAGGCCTATGTGCAGTGTAGGCCTTCTTTTTATTGTATATTTTGCTATATTGAACAAATAAACAAAAAGTACACATTTTTAAAAACTGAATTGCAAATTGAGTGTTAAAACATTCAGGTAGGCCTATTCAATGGTTAAAAAGTACAGATATCATCTACCTTGACTTAATTACAGATAACAAGATAACACTTTAATAGAAACTCAGTCAACTATAATATTTTCGGTGAAAATAGGAATTTTTATTTATAAAAAACACATTCCGATGCGGTTGGTTGCGCATTTATTTCTAATGATGTCATGATTTAACTTTGGGACAAGGTCACTGATCCACTTATGTCTTGGCACGAAGTAAAACCCGAAACCATTGGAGTAGGTTTTAATTGACTCAATAGCGACATTGTACGAAATTTGAAGCCCACGGTCCATGGGTGTTTTGGTCGAATTCGTAGTACACCTTGAAGCCAGTGCGCTGGCAGGCAATGGATTATGCAGACGCTGCGTCTTCCCTAGCCGTTGCTTCTAGAGGATACGAGTATCTTTTCAAACTTTTATTCATCGGTGACTCCGGGGTTGGCAAGACGTCAATGATATATCGTTTTTCGGACGATAAGTTCAGTTCTGCATTTATTCATACCATAGGTAAGTATAATACATATGGTATAGTATTGGTTTAACGGCACGGATACTGTATCCTTCCAAGTGTTTTTAATTCACCAATGTCAACATGCGTTGCTTGTAAAGGAGGGTTTATGGATCCAGCAAAGTTAAAGGTTAAATTGTTTATTCGTAAATATGTTTATGTTATTTTTCAAGTCCTGTAAACAAGTATATGATTTATGATCTTGGTTTTCTTTGATTTCACTGTAAGCTGATGAGAATGGATGTATTATTGTTGTTATTGTTCATTGCTTATAATACCGTAAGTAACCACATGATTGACTATAACAGCAGTAATTTACATTGGATTAATTGTTGTAATTTAGATATTCACATTAAATAATAAGATGTGTTTTCTTATATAGACGTAGTACAATACTACCTCCCTGATCTCGGACACATTTACTCAACGAACTGTAATTATATTATGAAAACGTTATTGACTTCCCTAATCACCGGCGTTTTGTGTTGTTTTATTTAACTAACTTGTATTGACAACAGACGTCAGGGGCGGATACGCACGACGGTGGCGGAGGGGAATGGAGTCGGGAGAAGTACTAATGGTCCGAGAGGGATGAGGTTGGGGGAATTCCCTTACCACTGTGGGATCCAGGAGGCGAAGTTTCGATTAGAGGGTAGAGATTTCTTGCCGATTGGGGTGGTTCCTGGCAGACGGAGGCAGTGGCATATAAATTTTAGAAGTCTTCAAGTGGGGGTACTGATGAGTTTGGGGTGAAGATGAAGTGTGGGGGACTCGATGATCAGATGAGGGGCACTAACTCGCAAAATAAGGTGATTTTAGGTGATTTTTAACTACTTGACCGTGATTTTTGGGGAGTCTGGCCTGGAGGGGGTGGGGTAGTAATTTTTGGAGGGACGTGCGCCTCCACCCCTTCCCCACACCTTAGACGTCACTGGACGGAGGGGGTGGTTGGTGAGCATCTCTCCCGCACCCGGCCATAGACTCGTCACTGGTGCCAGTTTGTAGATGTGTGGAGTGCTTCCTGCATTCTTAGAGGTATGTTAATGAAAGAAATATTGAAGATCATAATGACCAATCGGGTCGCCATATCGGGTGGAAAACTCTGCAGTTCTCTTGTTTTCTGAGAGACTTTCTAATGATTTTCTAATTTCCCTCTCTTTTTTTTTTATAAGAAACCAGTGAACATTTTCCCAGGCTCAGGGTTCTTATATTTTGGCCAATTTCAGGCTCAAAATATCCTTTCTTCTTAATTTTCACACTATTAAAAGATAGAAAATAATTATTATTTTCCATTGTATTATTATTGTATATTACTAACGGTATTTTAGAGGGTAGTACAAAATCACACCTCTGCACATAAATGTACAAATGAAATTTGTTGGTTTTTCTATTTTTGTATTAATAGAAACCTCATTGACATTTTAACCTCAGTGGTGGCGTATCTATGGGGGTGCGTGCGCGGGAGGGGGCGGGGAGGCACGCCCCTCCAAAAATTACTCGCACCCCTCCCCAGTCGCCCTAACCCGAAAATCACTTGCAAGTAGTTAAAAATCACCTAAAATCACCTTTGAAGGTTAGCGCCCCTGAACTGATCATCGATCCCCTCCCACTTCACTTTCTCTCCCTCCCCCTCATCATCAGCACTCCCATTTCAAGACTTCTAGATACGCCACTGAACCTCAGCCTCAATTTGTTATCATTTAATTTTCATTTTGAAAGCAATTGCAGACTCGTTGTTCTTAAAATGTGTTCTTTAAAAAAAGTGAATCACAGCATTGTTACGATAGCAATTACGAGCACAGCTGCACCACACTGGCTGCATAGAACCCCCTTGACTCTCTGTCATAGAAAAAGCCATCATTTTGTCGGGGAACATTGAACCCCACACTTCCTCGGATGCAGTGGTTCCCGACAGCAGGAATAATATCTGGCAGCCCGTGAGAAGTGTTTTCTGCGAGTGAGGAAACGGTCAGCATTTCCTGACAAATAATGCATTTTAAGAACCAACCAAGAATACTTTATTAAATTCATCTATCAAACAAATTTTGCGACTTTGCCTGTTGCTAAAACACCCTAAAATACTGTCATAAGGATAAAATATGTTATACAGTATAATTAAAACATTACATCACAATCAGGGGTTGAGCAAGACCTTTGGTACGTTGTCGAGATATACGTATACTCATTCATCCAGTATCATTCATGTGTTTTTCCCACGGGACTTATAAATAAAGCTGATCGTTTATCGATGAAAGATCGTAATTATTGTTTCAAATTCTTCCACCACCCCACCCCCCATTTTTCAAAATTTAACATAAAATGAAAAAAAAGGAGAAAATTCTACTCAAATTTAAAGTCAAGAGTGCCATTTCTGGCCATCCAGAGGTGCCATAATCATAACCTCAGCCCCAACCATGGTGGAGCTGAGGTAGATAGACCACCTGTGAAAGTTCTTCTCTGGGCCCCTCTGTTTAAAATCAGGATCCGGCACGTAACTTTGGTAAGTTATGAATTTTTTCAGCTCTAAGTTTCAATAAAAAGAATTCATCAGTGCGGCGCAAGGTTTTCCCCGACGGTGGGTGGGGGTAGGGGGGCTGATGTCCAAGACGAGAAAAAAAGTGGGTGTGGTCGGGCGCCGCTAAAAACCTTTCGAAAGTGGTCCAGGGGACGTAGCCCCCCGAAAATATGACAATTTAGGGGTTTCAATGGCTTATTTAATCGATTTTAGTCTATCAATATGTACAAAATACATATAATTTTTTTTTTCTCCCCGACGAATTGTGGTTTTTCTCCCCGACCTAGACCTGCCTAGCCCCATAAGAGACAGGTAGCGCCCCCACTGCAATTCATGTTTCTATAATACCGGTACTTTATTTTTCATGACCTGGTGAAATCAAATTAAGCACTCAATATCGATTAAACCGGCGATTAAATTAGTCATATAATCCGTTAAAAGGCCGTAGCTTCTGGGGAAATCGACCCGGTCCCCGCTAGGGAATCCTCTCCCTTGATCCTGCTGGAGTCTGAGGTTCTCCCCTGGAAAATTTTGATTCCTAGATGGCAGGAAATGAGCTTCCCCGACTACTGAGGTGTCTTTTGAAGAACTGTTAGTTCTTCAAAATTCAAGGTTTGGATTATTGAAAACGGTCAGGTAAACTTTCTCATTCTTATTACAGCGAAGGAAGGTTATGTGTTATAGAAAACGATTTAATGAATAAATGAACCCAAAAAGAAAGAGGGTCTGGGTTCCCCCGGGAAAATGTTGATTTCTAGATGGCGAGAAATGATTCCCGACTTCTAAAGTGTCTTTTAAGTTCTTCAAAATTCAAGATTTTACCACCCTAGCGGTCAGCTAAATTTTTCTCGTTCATTTACGGTAAATAGCTGCCTATTATGTGTGTACATACGTTGCATACCGTACGTATTCTTATTTTCCATGAATCGATGAACTTCGAAAACAAAAGTGGGTCGGGGTTCTCCCCCGAGAAAATTTTGATTCATAAATGGTGAGAATTGAGCTTTCCCGACTTCTAATTTTCTTTGTAACCATTTTATTTTTTGCCCAAGGAGGGGGAACCTCAGATCCACCAATGCTCTATCTTTTCTTACATTTCTTTCTTTCTGATCATACAAAAACCTGCACAGAATTGTCTGCAAAAAAAGTGGGGGGGGGGAGGGGTGATCCCGGCAAGCCTTCAGACTGAAAAATGCCTTAGCATTGTTCCCCGACAAATTGGTTGTATGCTTCTCCCCCACGTGGTGGTTTCAGGGTTCCCCGACATGGTCATGCGTGTTTCCCTGGTTCCACTTCCTGGGCACACCTTTCCTATAGCAAAACGATGCCCTGAACTTGAAACAAGTGATACTGTACTGTAGCGTGCATGCGCCACAAACCCGATTGACGACAGGCACATCGGATCGCATTCAAGGACTTTTCAACTGCAGGCCCACCGATAACAACTCTTGAAGTATCGATTGTAATTAAAAACACATGACATAATTAACAATAACTTTATTTTGAAATGGAAACGTAACCTAAAGTGAAACAGTAGGCCTACCTCTGTGTGTAACAGACTGCGTCTAATGCAGTGGCTTTAGCAATGAAAGGCCAACGGAAAATATATGTAAAAAAATTGTGATAGTTCCAGAACGACAGTTTAAATACAAAAAAAGAGGAATTTAATAAAGCCCGACACAGGACAAAAAAAAACAACAAAAAAACAAAAAAAACCCGAGGAAATGCATCAGCTGGCTGGCTCATGCTTTTTCAGAATACGTCATCTATAAAACTATAGTCGGCTGGAGAGATGTACCGCTCTATGGCATATGCAAATGAGGTTGTACCCGACAATGGTCGCAGAGCAATCGTCATGGCCAAAACCTACGATTTTCTCTTCAAATTGCTACTCATAGGAGATTCTGGTGTCGGAAAGACTTGTGTATTATTCAGATTTTCAGAAGATGCGTTTAACTCAACTTTTATATCGACAATAGGTAAGAAATGGATCCAGATATTTTTAAATTAACTGTAATGTATAGGACTTTTCCTAGGCCTCGCATGGAACCCTTCTGTTGTATTATCCACTACTTCCGCCCTTTAGCCTACTCCGGCTTTTTTAGCTCACAAGCAGGTAAAAAACCTAATCTAGGCCTAGGCATAGATATTTATTTAATAATGATCATTATCAAGTACGCAGATTCATTGTTTAACTGCTACATCCCTAAATTAAGTCATATGATTGATTGTATGTGTAGGCGTAGGCCTAGCCTAGCTATGCCTATCTATGATAGTAATAGTATGTATTTTTGTTGTAGGGCCTGTTTTATTTTAATTTTTTTTAGCTAGGGCCTAGGGGCTAGGCCTAAGGGCCTAGGCTACCAAGCTAGGCCTAGAGGCTTAGGCCTAGGCGTACTATAGCTGTAAATATTGGCGGGAGGACTCGCCCGTGGCTCAGCCAGGACCTACATAACATATACAGTTAGCCCAAGCCCTAGCCGA